CGAGCAAGAGCTAGGGTAGCCTGCGAACAGGCTCTCAAGCTGAATTGAGAGCCCTGCATCGATGACTAATGAATTTGAATATCTGCGTCTCAAATCGTGACAAGAAATTCTCATTGGTCAGATGCTATAATTTATATGTTTCCGCTGAGCTCTATATATGTCAACTGCTGAAGCACTATGCATAAAAAACACATTAACGGATCAAATTGGTCTTGGCCGTCTTATCTCAAAGCACGAAATGTTCTGTTTTGAGAAAACAGTATTTAAAACATTTGAACTTTTGCTTGAATATCTTATATTTCGAAAAACAGTATAAATTGTACGGTCTAAATTTAGTTTGCACGGTCTAAATTTAGTTTGCACTAGAGTTGTAAACAACACCATATAAGGATAGACATTCCATATTTGGAAAAACTAACGTTACGGGGCAGATATTCAAATTCGTTAGTCATCGATGCAGGCACTCAATTCAGCTTGAGAGCCTGTTCGTAGGCTAGAGCTAGGGGTGATTTTTAAAATCGTAATGCAATTATTCTAAAACATTAAAATGGTGTTTTACGACAATCGAAAAAAAATATGCCATCTTCCCCCCCCGCCGTCGACGAACTTTTCGATGAACTTTCCTGGAAAATTTTTTTAAGTCATCTTAAAAAAAATATCGTGCAAAGGAATGTTGCAGAAAAAAAAATTCTTGCAAGCAATTGGGGGATGAAAAAAAATTCGTGCACAGAAAAATTGAACAGCCCCCCCCCTCCCCTCAAAATATAATGGTCCGTCCCTAATAGCCGTTAACTGTACGTTGAGTATACTGTCTCTAATTCAAGACATCATAATTAGTTAAAACTGTCTAGTTAACTCAAGTTTACTGCATTTCCATGGAGTCTGCATGATTCGCGGCGGAGGCTGCGCGGTTCGATGACAAATTCAATGAAGCGTGATGATGATAACGACCACTTGACGTGTCATTGCCTTTGCTCGAACATAATGACTTCCATTTTCTTCTTGTATCTTTTGAGAGGACGCAATGAAAGATGAAAACCAACAAACCTTGAAGTGAGTTGAAGATACAAAATAAATACTGAAAGACCAATTTGGCATCCCTGATAGCAAGAACACCAAATAACCAGGTAAAACCCAGGACCACTAGGATAGCAATACCGCGTCTTGCTTGTGTGATCCCACTGGTCTTGCGATCTGCGGTCACTTTAGTTCCAGAGGTAAGGATGGACCGTAAGATGAAGACAAATGCAATAAAATTCATGAAAAGTATGAGTAGGGTTGGGCCAAGGAAAGCCGCTTGAAATGGGAGACCTTGAAGACGGCAACTAAATAAATAAATTTTTAAATATTTTTAAAAAATGAAGAAATTTATCTCTATACAAACTGAAATTCGATTCTATATTGTGGCCCAGGTACACTTTAATGATATGGAGCTTTACCATTCATGTTTTGTTTCTTTGGACAGAGCATTATAGAGGTGGATATAAACGTCAGTTACATGAATCAACTTGCAATTGGAACACGCATATTTAACTAGCTTAAAACATGAAGCATTTTGAAATCAAATCTCTTGTTCATCACAGGAAAAAATAGTGAAATCCATAATACGGAATTTGCAATTGTATCACTAAATCCATAGTATATCCATATTTCTCCATATTGTGTCCACAGTATGGAAATTGAAATTAGTGTATATGAAAATTGGATTTCCACACTATTTCCAACGAAGATCCATACTATTTCCATAGTAAAGACTTGGGGAAAAAATTCCAGTGCATTTCTACACATTTTATCGTGCGAAAGTATAGATTGGTCAAGGAGTGCGTGAATGTATGTATATATACGTGCTTTTGGAATAATTTATGGTATAAAGTATTAAAGAATTGAGATTTGCAGCAACAAAAGGATGAAACTGTGGCAAAATGTCCGCCACTAGAGCCAAATATATTTCTGGAAATAGGATCTTTATACTTACTAAGTTTCGCCTCCATACTCTTCAATTTTCAAGACTGCTGTCACAATAACGATAATTGCTGGTAATCCTAGAATATGTAGAAACAAAATCGACATAATTATATTGCTACATGTAAACTAAGTGCAAAATGGCAGCATGTTATGCAATTTAACGATGAACCATGTTCTGAACGCATTTAGCTATTGTAGGAACCACATACACAATTACTTATTTTTACGCTGTAACTGCGCCATTTGAAGTAGAAAGCGCTTTTCTTTTTATACTATAATATACATTTAATTCAATTGAAGTTGTCCTTTCCAAGTCAAAACCCTCGACTTCTAAGCGCGAAAAGCACGATGGATTTGCATACAGTATGTAATTCATACTGTTACGGTTGCTACGTCCCACAAGCGATTTATAATTTATGCATCCCCGTGATTTTCAACTATTTCGGGTTTTATTGGCTCATTAACCCAATTCACTAGCAAATCCGGCAGAATTCATGTGATTTTTCAACTTTATAACGTTGAAGAATGTTGTTTGTGCATGCATGAACATATACTCAACTCCTTTGGGAATTAAATTGACTTGATCGATTATCATAAATATTAGACATATACCTATAACATGCATGGATAAACAAATCTCATAATAACAAACACGTCCATTGTGCATTTCGGGCTTAGGGCCTGTTCATATGGGCAAAAGTTATCCCGGTTAACGAGAGAACTTTTCGACTAGCCAAATACTTTTGTTCTGTTCATATGGAGGGAGAAATATTATCCCACTTACCGGGAAAAGTTTCCGGCTGTGACGTAGCACTGAACATCAATTGAATTGAAAAGTTGCTGACACGACAAAAAGTTATCCCGCTAAGCGGGAAAGTTGTGTTCATATGGGGAAAACATTATCCCGGTCACCGAGATCTCGCCTGTCAACAAGCGAGATCTCGGTACGCGGGAAAACTTTTCGTCTCATATGAACGCAATGTAACTTTTCATATTATTTTCGTAACAAGGCGAGATCTCGCTCGTAAACTTGTCGAAAGATTTTCTCGCTAACCGGGATAACTTCTGCCCATATGAACGGGCCCTTAGAGGTCAACTGGTCGAAGGTTTTGACGTTCAGAGACAAGTCAGACAACCTTAATTGAATTAGCTGTATCAAATATACGATACTTTAATCCAGTTTTACAGATCAGAGTTTAAAGTTTTAATTTTGGGAATCAGTTGAGCACTTTTTAATAATTATATAATAATGGTTTAAAGAGCGTTAACTTTTTGATAATTCATTTCCAATTTATTTTAACATACCCCATCCAACAATAAGACACTTCATCATAAAGTGAGAATGGTCCGTTGGTAGAATTTTTACAAAGCAAAGATACATATTATACGCTTCTATAGCCATCCACATAAACACAGCTAAGACAAAGTAATGTAGGGCTATTGCTGCTGCCCGACACCAGGTTGTAGAGGAAGTCTTGGATCTCTCAGCAGCCACAATGAACACAATTAATGTCAGAGATAAGGCTATGCAGAAGTTGAGTAAAATCTGGGTTGGAGTTTTCGTTCGTAACTCTCTAAATACGAAAAAAACGAAGATCGTCACAAACTGTTTATGGAATTTTCTTTGCAGTGTAAACTATAAATTCGAGTTATCTTAACCCAAATGATTACGGATAATTTAGGTATATGGTTTATATCGATACGTAATTCAGAACCAAGCATGATATTTTTTACTATCCATGTATTTTTCTAAAAAAAAGTAAAACCATAGCCCTGGTCTTCTTTTACGCACATTTCCTTAGTCCATGATCGTGGATGAGTCAAACCAGTTTGTAAAACAAATTCTGAAACCGGTTTAGGGAAACAAATAGTACGCATACTCAGAGCTGAATTACGCTGTAATGACATTGAGCCCGTAATGTCAAAATGGCGGCTTGCACAGCGCGGTCATTTCGAGATTTTTATTCAGTATTTTCAAGTGCTCTAAATTATGTAATTGATATAATTTCAAAGATGAAACTGTGAAAGCAGTGACAGAAGAACAAAAGAAAGCAATTTTTTATCGGGCCAAGATACATTTGTTTGCTTTCCAACTGGGTAGAGTAAATCTTTGATATCAAACCGCAAAAAACGGTTTGATATCACGTGGTAAACATCACTTGTTGTCATGGCAATTGTCGCACATGGTCGACAGAAAACGTGTCAGATCTTGGCAGAGGTCTCTTCTCCTTCGCTTCCCTGCACAAATAGAGACCTCTGTTAGCAGGGAAGGGGGACAGCATCGATCGCGCAGTACATGTAAAACCACTGTATGCTCTTTTCACTATCTTGTGGAGGACGATGAGAGAAATAAACAAAAAGAGCAACACATTAAAACAAAGTAAACAAAACTTACTTAAACAATACAATCGTAATAATGGTTAAAACCAGTCCACCTAATGATATAGAACAACCAATATAACTTATTATACTCAGTGCTTTTTCATGATCATCGTCAATACGATCTTTGATATAAACATCCTAAAAAACACAACGACATTTAGTGGACAGACTAATTAAAATTAATACCATGCGAGATTTACTCAATTTTATTGCGCATGTTCGTATACTTAATTTCTCTCACCATTAAAATAGCGAAGTTTGTAAGATGAGAACAGTGGCAAGTAACAATTCCATCTTTCACTCCTTTGTAAGTACAACCAGTTTGTGACCAATTACCGACACCATTCTTTAACGAGAAATCCCAAAATACACACGCAGTTTCCTTATATATTCCTTCATCTAACGGTTGATATGTTGTTACAATTGGATCTTGCAAGTTAGTTAATTTTCCCCCTCTAATAGACCCAGATATTACCAAACTGTTCAACTTATTAATGGTCTCTCCATCAGTCATTTCCTTAACTTGAGATTGAAACAATGACGAATTCTTGTATATGACAAATGCTATTCGTTGGTTTTGAGCTTCACTGTCAATGTTCAAATTCTCAAACAATGATTTTGGCATTGTTAATGAAATTTGAGAAACCGTAGGTTGGACACTAAAATCATTATTGTAAACAGTAAAATCGTTTTCTTCGTTTCTCTTGGTATCAATTAATAATTCAGCTCTAGCGCCCTGGAATGTACTTTGATTGACGTCTCGTGAATATACAACAATGTTTCGTTCATTTTGTTGTACATTGGCTTGAGGATTTATGGCAACATTCTCAAGATAATCTTCAACTACTGATAATACTCTGCAACAAAACATTGATCAGGTTTCAAAAAGGTATTCAATTTAGGCCAATTAAGAAAAAATTCTGTTTTTCATCGCCGCCCGCCCTGAAAAATTGACTGCCCGAAATTGTTTTTTAAATTTATGTGATTAATCGGAATTGGTCGGAAGTAGTCGGAAACCGAACATTGGCGGCCATATTGCTTCAATATGCCTTTCGTTGTTGTTCTATAACAAACGTACTTGCAGGGAGGTGAGTCCGGGATTGGACGCACCGAGGGTGGCTGGAAGTTTCCCGAACTTACCGAGCGAAGCGAGGTGAGTTCGGGAAACTTCCAGCCACCCGAGGTGCGTCCAATCATGGACTCGCCGAACCTGCAAGTACGTTTGGTTTTCATCACATACTCCGAGCCATACACACATTTGTAGCTCTTCGAGATATATTCGTCGATGTTTTGTCAACATTTTTCCGGCCAAAAAAATCACTGGACAAGAAAATAATTCTTTATCTACGTCTAGATTACCTTTACTGCATTTTTCTTTGGTTTTTCATCAGTCTCAGCAAGTTAGTCACCGAAAAAAGTTAAATAAAGCCTAGGTTTATCGGCTAAGTCTTGTCCGCCATATTTGTTATTGTTATTGCAAGTTGCAACGTGAGCAGTTTCGCGTGTGAGTTCGGCGAAAAGCAGGTGAGCTCGACGACAAACTCACCTGCTCTAAACCAATCAGAAAGCCGCTTTTGACACAGGTATGGGATAAAAATACGAGCTGGAACAAAAGTTTTGAAGCGTTGGATAGGCGTACGAGTTGCAGATATTTCTGCTTTAAATTATGGTCTTGCATTCAGACGTAAAAGTTAAAATGGCTCTTGACTGTGACTACTTCTTGCACAGACCAAATGTATGAAATGGAAAACAACCTTTCAGCGCGCTTTTTAAAGGGGAAATACACTACTTCCGCTATTAACGAAAAAAATAAAATAAAAAACCGCCCATCCGCTCCATGTTTTTCTGATGAAAAACTGAAAATGTTTTTTTAATTGACCTAACTAATTTAGATCTATTAGGAACAATAATCTAGCAATTCCTAGAGTAACAGCTATAACTTTGGTTAACGTTCATCTGCGGTAACTATAACATCATTACATCTGTTGGTTGTACCTTGTAGACGAGTTAATTGTTTCCTGATTTTGAAAAAGGATAACAGGATTAACATTTATGAAGTTGTCAACAGCCTTAATGATATTCGTACCGGTCTAAAGAAAAAGAATACATTTTTGTACGCGTTAGTTTTAAACATATTCTTCAAATTTAATCAGCAGGTTTCTCAGCTACAGCGTTTCTGCCCTTTCTCTAACGCAAAAACACTTTCTTATTTGTAAACGCAAGCCAGAAACATTTTCACCCTTTCACGTTCACTAAAACTATTTTGTCCAGTTTAAACAATTAAAATCGACTAAGTAACATCATTGTTGAAATTTGGAGAATTTATCCAACACGAGCACTAAATGAAGCAGCTCGAATAAAGCACACCGACCTAAAGCTTGCACATTTGCCATGCAAGTTTGATAACAATTGTTAGAAAATTAATAATAATGAGTGTTGAAGCAATCAGTATTGGTTCAGTAATTTTTCTGGGATATAAAATATTTCTGCGTCAGTTAACTGCTTTGTCGAAGGAACTGTTCCATGGATCGATAGGTTTGGCGGGGGAAAATTCGTGATTGATCACCGCGGTAAATAAAATAAACCGACCGACGATTACGGTTCATTTTTGTAATTATATTGTTTTTTTAAAGCTCACCTCATTCAAAACGTTTGTTCCTTCAACGATATTTTCAAGAATTAAGACAGTCAGGGCGACATCTTCTCTTTCAAAATTTTGGGAATCATTTGTTAAGCTCACCACTTGGACACTTGCGTTAATCAGTGATGTTCTGTCTTTTTTTATATCCTGTAATATACCAATAAGACCTAGCGACTGCGACATCTTACTTTATAAGTAGGGTATACAGCCAATTCAAAAAAGGTTGTCCTTCAAGAATCTTAAACCTTAAACATTCAGCGCGCAAGGTATGATGGATACTGCCTATTTGGAGCTTAATATTGGGCATCAGCTTAGTGAACCAAATAGCCCTACATCGAAAGTGTTCATTATTTATGCCCTAGCATTGTTGCAAAGCCAATTTTCCGAGTTTAAGTCTCTAAATAGGAAGTTACCCATCATACCTTGCGCACTCAATGTTTAAGGTTTAAGATTTTTGAAAGACAACCTGTTTTGAATTAGCTGTATACAAGCCAAAAAGAGATCCTGAGTAAGTGAAGATATTGCAGAAACTCTTTGGGGGTTATAGTTAATGTATATAGCTTATTTTGATTACAGCTTTTGTCCTGAAACTTTAGCGACGCTATCTTGAAATTTGTGATATTTTACCGCTTCTAATGTGATGCTAAGGAGAACAAGAGCTTTGCCAATCCAAAAAGGGAAATATTCGCTTTAAGACAGACAATAGTATATACAAGAAAAGTTAGAATAATACATTTATAATGTAGAAATTGGTTTTAATATAATTATTTTAAGTTTTTAAAAGAATTAATAGCGAAACAATTGAGAATTGAATTGTTCAGAACAAGTCGCAACGAAACTGAAACAAACGAATTTGCAGTCAACAAGCTCTTACTGCTACCAAACATCTATATAAAATACATATCAGGCCAAGCGGTTAAATTAAAAACGTTAATAAAATTAATAAAATTAAAGGCTTGGGTTTTAGCTTTCGAATAATACCTTTCCTGTATCATTCCAAGCGCTGAGACAAGTCTATTGAATTCTCCCATACCTGGTACAGAATGGACAAAGCGTCTGTGATTTCAGAATCATTATACACTCGGTATTTACATCGTGAAATGTCAGGTTCACCCCAATATGGTCTTTGACAATTATTATCATTGCACTGACAGCTTCGACTTGCTCTCCAAATTAGTAAAGACTGACTATCTTCCAGATTTAGATCTAGATTTTCGCCATTGCTATATCCATAAGGACAGTTCCTAAACACCACATGTCCGCCCTTCGTTACGTTCCAAAACAATACTCCTTGTGCAACAGCCTCGCCAGTTGTTTCTTCTGGACATGCTCCTATTTTATGCAAATTTGAGAGAGAAAACGGAAAAGACGAAATATATCATGTAACGGAACAATGTCATGCATGCATTTGGATTGGCGTTTGGCACAGAGATTAATGTGTAGATCTTCTGCTTTTTCGATACACCAAATAAATGAAAATACTAGTATTGATATAGGTGGGTTTGAGGTGGTGTGTTGAGGTGGTGTGTGATTGTGTATGCATGACGTCACTCAATATACATGCAAAGTGTCATAATTAATGGACACATAATTAGACTTGGCAAGTAAACAGCCGATTAAACTAAGCTATCACAAAAAGCGTCACTATAAAGTTCGGCCACATTTGTTTGAGTGTCACTAGACAATGGAGTGTTTATGAAAACCACACGTCATCCTCTTCAACTACAAAGCATGGCATATTCCTGAAATGTGGGCTCGTTATAAAGAACTCAGAAACCAGATTACGGCTCAGGGGCCGGTTGTATCAAAGGCGTTTAACTCGCTAACCACCGTTTAACTCGCTATCCGCTGGATAAAATTTAAACGTTCGAGAAATCGCGTTGTATCAAGCCCGTTTAGGGCTATCCACCGGTTAAATTTTGCCTGTCCACCGTGTAAACTTATACGGTCTCTTGAGACCGTTTATATCGCTATACGGCGGGTAAACTCGGAGTTTGAAGATAAAACAATCATTATTTCGGATGAAAAAGCATGGGATAGTTATAAAAATGCACAATCATGTGGAGGAGTTGTCTTTTTAAATCCAATAAACATGAAAAACTCACTTTTAACTGGCTTGGTCTTGAGCTACACTGAGGTCACTTGCTCACTTGTTATTCCGTGGCTTTGGGTGTCATGTTTAGATGTTAAGTATATATACTCTGGCTTTTTCTCCTTTTTTCTTCTATTATATAGTTTGAAAACAAGCAATAAGACTCCCAATTTTAGCTATTGTAAAACAAACAATGACTTTGGAAAGCCAACAAGTATACAAAATAGACAACAAGACGCCGAAAGTCGAAAAAAATTGTTCGCTCGCGCTAATCGCTTTGATCAGCCAATCAAAACTTGGGACAAAATGTTCTTAAAATTGTTTTGAACAAAAGTGCAAGGTCGAGGAACAAATTTCAAACAGTATAAAACTGAATCAACTGATAAAAGCCAAATAGAACTCACAGTTTTTGCTATTGCCTTCGACTCTTCGCATAAAGAAGCCAAAAATCTTTAAAGAAATATCCGTAAGTGAATTTAAGTGAATGAGAAACTCAGCACAATGTGAAAATGAAAAGTTTGATATAGATTTGCAGCAACGAATGGACGAGCAAACTCCAAATAAAAACAACAACAAACTTTATTGCAAAAGC